CAAATTCAGCAGCTTTGGAGTCGCAGTACCCAAATGTTGATGCACTCTAGAGGACTACGAGAGGGAGATTTCGGACAACGCACATCACAATTCATTTCTTCAAAAACTCAAGAGTACCGCTGCCTCAGATACAATGGAATGAGAATTGCTTGTCTTCTTTTGTTCTGATAGCTTCAGAAAACTCAGGAACTCCGTATGTTTTCAGTAGTAGGTTTGGTAGGTTCTGCTGACCTGAAGCGGTTTGAAACTTTGAATTGGCCTTTTAGTTTCAGAACTTGCAAATTGGTAAGAGCATTGTGTGGAAATAAGGCAGTGTCATTGGTTGCAGTTACCATCTTCATCTCTATTGTATGATAAACCAGGTTGATACATCCAATGTTACAGACAAAGTTTTCTGAACTTAGCTTTTAGTCTTGAACTGAAAGGCAATGCTATATCATTGCATGATGACGCCCTGCTAGGAACTTCCGTTAACTTACCGCGACAGAAGCATTTGGCCGAGGAGAACCAATGCCAACCGAACTCGTCCAAAACTGTGGCCTTCTCCTGTTCTCCATAGCTATGCCCGGTGGCATTTACCAAATCTTTTACTTTAGTACGTAGTACATACATAACAATGCTAACGCCAAGCTACAGTGAGAAAGAAAAGGAAATCACGAATGAGCATAGCGTTTCTTTTTTTAAAAAAAAAATCAGCATAGCGTTTCAGGGTCACAGCACTTTGTTCTGAAATTCAGCAATTCAACAAGTATGTTCTGGAATGAGTTGGAGGTCTCCTAGTTTCAGGTTTTCAGCATCCTGGCAACTGAACCAAGCCTGAACAAGGTAAAGTGGGTTTCTTCAGAACGCTGGATATGCGGCTTCTGATTTGATTCGGATGATCAGCAGCCTGCTTGGTGCTTGCAGCAGAAAGGCTCGAAGAAACTGAATTCAGAAAGGTCAATGCAACGGTTCCACACGATGGCACAACTCTGACAAAAAAATAAATAAATGGGAATCTGGTGCAAACCAACCACCTTGTGCAATCTTAGAAACTACGAATTAGAGCCACAAGATGCTAATCCAATAGACAAGATTAGAGGTGGGATTATTTTACGCTTAAGGCCCCCCACCACCAGCCGGCCACTTTTCCAATACCCCCTACCCATCCGTTTCTGGTTGGACAAGTGGCCGGCTAGAAAAGTGGTCGGCTGGTGGAGGGACTTAAGCGTAAAATAATCCTACCTCTAACCTTGTCTACTGGATTAGCATCTTGTGACCCTGATTCGAAGTTTTCAAGATTACACGAGGGTGGTTGGTTTGCACGTTCAAAAAAAAATAGTATTATGGAACATATAAAGTGTAGTGGTACAGATAGAAATATGAGATAGAGGTAACTCGTACACTGACAGACCCAGCGATGGAGCCGAGGCCTGGCCACCTGGACGGCTGCCGGGCTCTGGCTTGCTGTTGACCTGCCCCAAATACAAAACAAGATCTAGTAGCAATATTACTAGGTACTCCTTCGTAAAAAAAATTACAATTCTCACTTCTGAACGAGTGAAACTATTAAAATTTTAACTAAATTTATATAAAAGATACTAATATTTATGATATAAAATAAGTATAGGTTAGTTATAGAATATATTTTATAATAAATTTATTTAGAGATATAAATCTATCTTTAATAATAAAAAGACAAAGGACACGTTAGATTTTCGTCCAACCTAATCATTAGCTTCGGTTGTTTCTTATTCTGTTTAGTTTCCTGTTTTTTTTCCCCACTTCGTGTTGCTGCGAACGCAAGTCTAGGCTGAGTCCAGATACAACTCATAGGAAGCGGATGTGCATATAAAGCAAAAATACACAGGAGGAGGCCCTCCTCGGCTACGCTCCAGGGAGGAACCAGCAGCGGCGGCGCGGCGCAGCTAGGAGCGGCGCGGAGCAGAGCGGCTCGAGGCAACGGCGGCGCATCGCTTGCAGATCAGGCAGGCGCGGCGAGGAGCAGAGCTGCCCGTGCCCGTGGCGGCGGATGGGCCGTCCCGGTCGCGCGAGGAGCAAGAACGCGGCGTCCGCGTCCGCCGGAAGGAAGAACGCGCTGCTAGACAAGCTCCACTGTCTTACCGTGCCAGCGTCTACGTCCGCATCCGTATCATGCCTATCTTCCCCGCAGCGCTGTGTGCCTGGGGCAGCCGCCGAGCTCTAGCACCTCGCCTATGCTGCCCGCGCGCCTGTGGAGAGAAAGAACGCAGCGCCGAGGACGAGCTCCAGGGCCTCGCTCCATGTCAGCGTCCGCGTGCGCGCTGCTCTGGCGGCCAACGCCGACGGTCATGGAGCACTCGTGCCGTCCGCCGGTCATAGCCGAGGCCGAGAGCTGGGTGCTGGTAGCGCCGGCGGAGCTCGCCGCACTGAGCGTCGCCGGTAAACGGGTAAAGATCCTTTGCAGCTATATTATATTAAGAGCATATCATATTAGGCCCCGTTCAGTTGCCAAACATTTTGCATAGTAACTGTCACATCAAATCTTGCGGCACATGTATGGAGTACTAAATGTAGACGAAAAAAAAAACTAATTACACAGTTGATCGAGAAATCGCGAGACGAAACTTTTGAACCTAATTAGTCCATAATTAGACACTAATTACCAAATACAAACGAAATGCTACAGTGAGCCAAAATCCAAAATTTTTTGGATCTAAACGCACCCTTAGCCTCCCATGTCTCCCCTCCTATCATGAAATCACCAATCCAAATCAGATAAATTAAACCAGGCAATAAATCAGATCGAACACAAAAAAACGGAGTTACATCAGGATACGAATCAAACTAAAAATTAAACACAAGAGGAGATCTGGATTTAAGGAGTGTGCTAGGCAAGCAGCAACATCGCGGGCTCATCAAAGACATCCCGCTGCCCGGTGCTCGGATTCAACGGCGTCGATGCCGTGCTCCACGCGCCAGTCCTTGCGCGATCAATCTCGCACGCATGTACTGTGAAGCTCTGGGGTTGAGGAGAGGTGAGACCATGAGAGGGGTGATGATGATACTAGTACTAGAAAGCAATAGCAACCGGTTGCCGAAAGGTCCCCGCAGTCCGGGAATGATGAGCTGTGGCAGCGGTGCAGATGGGTGGCGTGTGCGGAGCTCTAGCTCTCCAGAGTAGAGACGGGCGGCGCCGTGGCGCGTGCCACATTGTTGCCTAGCGACTAGCGCGGGAAAAAATTGCATGCAGCATGGCTGCAGCCTCCCAGCGTGGATGAAGGCCACGTGTTCCCAGGAGTTGATCAGACGAGCAATCAGGGTGCGGCTCCTCGCTGCTACTTTCCTATAACACATGGGCGGGCTCAGGCTTGCAGTTAGGGCATCTTTAGATTCCAAAATTTTTTGTGCAGTAGCCGTCATATCGAATCTTGCGGCATATGCATGGAGTAATAAATGTAGACGAAAAAAAAACTAATTGCACAGTTGGGTGAGAAATCACGAGACGAAACTTTTAAACCTAATTAGTCCATAATTAGACACTAATTATCAAATACAAACAAAATGCTACAGTGAGCCAAAATCCCAAAAATTTTAAATCTAAACGGGGCCTTAAAGCCACGGAAGAACTGCTTTCCGGCTGCCGTGAAATGTCTTTGCGTACACACGTGTCAATAGATAACGGGGGTATGCACGCTGGTAGGCTGCAGCCAGGCTGCATGCAATTTTTTTCCACTAGCGCACTGTACAGTGTGGACGGGTGGCATCATACCAGTTCAAACCTCATACGCAGGCGGCAGGTCCACACAACGTTTCAAGGCTCGGAAGCAAGAAGCAGATACGCCGAGATGCTACAAGAAAAACAAAAATTCACTCTGCCATTCCGTCTCCGACTCTCCGTGTACCAAAATTTAAAAGTAAAAAACACGCATATGCAAGTAAATCTTGCTAATTAAAATCTGATAGCACCGTTGTTGTTTTTTTCTTAAACAAAAGATAAATAAAACCATGCTTCATGTATTTAGTGCCATAAATTTTAACTTTCATTTCCTCCTATAGTTTTTCATCCATCTCACTCTTCCAATCCTGGCCAGATCATGGCCAATTTCATGAATTAGAGATGTCCTATATCATTATCCTATCCGTGACCTAAAATCAAAATCCGTGTTTATTATATACTAGGTGATTGCCCGTGCGTTACAACGGGAGCAACAACGAATTTCACGAGATGGGTGTGTTGTCCGAACATTATCGCCAAGCCAGAATCAATATTTCAAGACAACTCTGTGTCACTCAGAATATGCAATCCATATGGCCGAACTAAAGTCCCTTATTAAGATCCTTTCCAAAGCTAAGCTATATTATGATTTTGTCAATCTTAACTCTCTTATCACCAACTTAAATGACTTTTGTATCAAAGTGTGCCACTTCCACGCAACAAATGACACTCCAACTGATCATCATAAATATCCCTTCGTAACATCTGTTTTTTCTTATATTGTGAAAGTTGTTAGTTAGCAATCAATGGATATTCTAAGGAATAGAAGAGTGTGTCCAGTTTTGAAAATATAAGCTATCTCAGTTGCATAAACTCAATACCTTCTTGGTCGTTACTGACAGAATAGTTCATAGCTAAAAGACCTATCAAAATCAAAAGGCACATGAACTATGTCCACTAAAGTTCACTCGGAGAACAACCACAATATAGTGACTGCTCTAGAAAAAGAAAAGGACAGAAAATTGATGAGCCCTAAGGAAATCAGATCCACCCAAACATATAGATCACGGGCCTAGTTATTGACTTACTGTGATACTTAAAAATACAACCTGAATCATTTAATTTGCTCATGCCCTTAACAGAGCAAGCCTAGAATGACGTTTCCCGCCGAGCTTCAAGCTCATATTGATGCATCATGCCATGGTGAGTTGCCTTAATGGCACCGTAAAACTTGTTATGCGGGTGCACTCTCTCCTTGATCCCAGAGACAAGCTTACTTGATCAAGCTCACTTGAGTCAGGTTTCTTCAGAAAGTCAAGAAAGTTCAGTAAATTCCTTTACAAGAAAAGAAAGAGGAAAACGAGTTTGTGCTTGTTCCTCCATGCCTCTTGTGGTCTTGTTCCTCCATTTCATCGTCTTCTCCCTCCCTCCTCCGGTACAACTCACTTTCAAGTTGCTGCCACAGCTCCACATCAGTCATCATGTCCTCATCATGGTGATTGACAATGTCATTATCACTATCTACCAAGCCAATATCATCGACCGCCACAGCAATGGAACTCTGAACCTCTTCTGAATTCTGATACGCGTACAGCTTCTGATGTAACTGTCTCTGAGGTTTCCACGGTGGTTTCAGTCAACAGTGAATTGGACTCAGATCCACCGCTTGTTGATGTTCTTATTTCCTCTATGTGACAGTTGAGGTAGATGAAACATTATTTCGCCGTCGGGATTACGATCTCGATCTGTTGCATATGTACACTTCTTTATGCATTCACTTCAAAAAAATTTACAGAAGCACGAAGAATAGAAAAACATAGATGTTTCTACCTATCCTAATCCTATATGCATCCACTTCAAAAAAATCTTGATTAATTAGCAGACCTGAGTTCGATAATCATCAACCAAGTAGTAGATGGCTTCAGATTTGAGCAAAAGCAAACAATCACAGAAGAAGAGAGACAGGAAACAAACTCACCTCTCTTCCCACCCGCCGCCGCCCAGTTCGTCATCGCGAAGGAGCCCAGCTCGTCGTGCAATCTGGGGCGTATAAGGCCACTGGGGCCCGTCCGCTGTGTGCGCGTATACGGCCATTGGCCGCACTGCCCGCTGTCTCCGCATGCACACCCGGCCGCTGGTCGCGCTCCCCGTCAACCGTGCGCCACCTTCGCCTTGGATTGTAGAGCGCCGCCGCCGAGCGACCGACTTGATCCGAGCGCCGTGTGCGCCTGTGCCTGTGCTGTGTGCCCAGCCCCAGCGCCAAGGCCTGCCTGTACAGGATGGGGCGGTCGGACATGCTTTCCGCAGCGGCAAAGATGCTGGCCAGCATCGCCGGGACACGCCCACCTTCTCCACGAACCGAACAGGGACGCAGACACTGTGCCGGTGGATTGGGGGGGTTGTGAATGGCGATGGTGGAGTTTGCGATCTCTGACTGAACCGTTGCGCGGCCACGAGAAGGAGTGCGTCGGGGTCGTGGGAGTGGAGCGGTTTTTTTTCTTCCGCGCGGAAGGTTTTAGTCGGACGGACGAAGGGGGTGTGGCCGTCGCTTATTAGCGCAGGGCGCGGGGATTAGCGCGGGGGCGGGTTAATTAGCGGGGCGAAAACGATGACTTCCGATTCTTTTTAGTTGCAGAGATACGTGTTGACGCTCAAAAATGTCTATGGATGATTTTGGGTATCATGAATAAGTTACAAACATCGACATATATTTAGGGTCAAGTAGCGCGGTAAAATAGAACGAAACGCGCAGAGAAGACAACGAGCTGTCGGCGAGCCAAGCCAGTCGGCTTGGCTAGCTCACCCCCTAGGTGTCGGCTAAGCCGACTGCCCCATCATTCAGCCTGCAGGGGCTGAGCAAACCGTAAAAGTTAGCCGACTCATCCTGGAAACCGAGTAGGAGATTTCCTAAAAATGGTTTTTGGTATATTTTTGACGTGGGAAACTTGGAGAATGCGTCTTAAAGATGTTTCCTACTGGGATAAGACCAACACTCTATATATACGAGAGGATCACGGCTAATTGAGTTCCCATCTACCCAATCGTCAAAAATATAATATATCAACTCATTTTGCCCTAATTCTCCTCCGTCAACCCCTCCTGCTGTTCGGCATGTCTCTCAACGAGATTTGTCGGCATCCTAGGCGGCCTTGCTGGTCCTAGGAGATCTTCCACGTGCTCCTCCCTGACGGGTCTTCCCGGGAGTAGTTCGGGAGCGTTTTTAGCGAAGAACGGGCTCTACATCGGCCTTATAGGTTTCTAGATCGGTTTGGTCGATTACGCTACGTTTTTGCTGCGTTGCAGGTTGATCTACAACCTCTTTGAGCGTCCAAGGCCCTATTGGTGTGTTGGCTTGAAGTTATCTTCAACGTCAACATACTTTTTGGTGACTCCGCTGGGGAAAGCGAAACGAATCAAAAACCAATCTACTAGCAACATGGGAGCTAATGATGGTGCTGCCACCGACAAGGGTGACAAGACCAGCCCCTTCAGTGAGGCTAATATGATCTTTCCTGCATCCATGGATGAGCTTCCAGATGAGTTGCGCTAGAAGCTTCAAGCCAAGCTCGATGCCGATACTAGGGCTTTCTTGGAGAGCTGTACTAAGAATCGGCACGATAAGGTTACTCAGTTTCGTGAACCCGCCTATGGCGATGCAACGGCCTCTGCATCTTTAGGCGTCGAGTAGAAGGGAAGCGGAAAAGCTAAATATGATGATGAGGTATATACTGATGCTTATCCAACTCATACAAATTATGCTAAAATGCTAGTTGATACAAAGAATACACTTACAAATACTATTCAACATTCATTTAGTTAACTTAGTAGTCCTATGGATAAGCTAGAGGGCAAGACAATCGATTATGATCAATCGGGTGCCATGCAACAACCTCAATTTGGTATGCCTTTAAATTTATATGAAAATCAAACTTCTTATGCATCTGCTAGCCAGTTTCAATCGGCCCCTTCAGCGTCTAAAACTGATAAGGCCGGTCAACCTGGTGCTAGCACATCTACATGTATAGGTGTTGGTGCACAAAGTTCAGGTCGAGCTCTTTGAACCGATTATGGAGCATCAACAAATAGAACTTTGGCGGGCATAATGTTTTACCAAATCCACCGAAGTCACCTAGTCAAATTCCTACGTTTAATGTCGCCCCTGATGCTACGATAGCCGATTTTAATGAAGCTTTGAATCGGCTTAAGGAAGATTTGACTAAATCTATTGAGAGTAGTTTAGATGTGCAAATTAAATCTTGTAAGAATGCATATCATAAGCCATACCATTCTACTTTGGGTTTCATGAAAGCACCTGATGGATGAAGGGTACCCGATTTTCAAAAAATTAGTGGTGATAACAGTAAATCAATTATGGAGCATATTAGCATGTTTCTTGCATAATTGGGTGAAGCTGGTGCTTATGATTTCATGAAAGTTCGTAATTTTCCATTATCTCTTACTAGCATAGCTTTTTCATGGTTTACTTCATTGCCGTCTTGTTCTATTGGTTCATGGGCTGAATTAGAAGAAAAATTTCGACGTCATGATTTCTTCAAAAGATTTAGAGAAATCAAGAACCGATGTTTTCATTTAATGATTACTGAAAGAGACTTGCCTGATTTATGCTTTACTGGTTTACGTTCTAGCATTAAAGAAAGGCTTAAGCATTATGAGTTTCACAATGTTAATCAACTTATGCAAAAGGCCGTTTCAATTGAATCGCGCCTTAAGTCTCGTGATGCTTATAAATTCCATCGTCAGAATGTACATTTTGTTGGTGATTTTTCCGATGATTCTGATGATGATGATAAAGAATTTTTAGCTACTAAAATTAAATGGCTAGCAGAGAATAAATTAGTTACTTGCCCTTTCCTCAAGCCGATTCATAAGAATTGGAATGAGGAAGTGAAATTTACTTTTGATTTTTCTAAATATGACCGAATCTTTGATGAATTGTTGAAATTCGGTTATATTAGAATTAATTATATAATGCCTTCAGCGGATGAGTTAAAGAGACGGGCTTATTGCAAATATCATAACTCTTTTTTTCATGTCACTAATGATTGTAATGTTTTCCATCGGTAGGTCCAATCGGCCCTTAATGAGGGACGATTGAGTCTTACTGAAATGCAAGTTGATAAGTCCCCTTTTCCAATGCATATGGTTGAAGCAGGGGCACCCGCTATTATGATTCATCCAAAGCAAGCCGATAAAGCTCGAGACAAGAATGTGATTATCGGCGAACCATGTGTACCATCGAATGTTGAAAAGAATTCAGGGCGCAAGGTGGTGCTTGAGAAGGATGATGAAGGCAAGAACAAGCTGAGGATCACTACTGGATCAACGCAATATTTGAGAAGGTAATGGTGGTATGAAACAGCAGCGGCATAGCAGAGGCCGGCTAGGCCAACTCCAGCATGCAACAGAGCTAGTCGGCTGAGACGACTCCACTCCCACCTTAGCCAAGTCGGCTGAGCTGACTGCCCTAGTCGGCTTAGCCGACTCCCCTGGTTCCAACAACCCAAGTTTCTCTGGTGTTTGTGTTTTGCGTATGTTTGTTCCACAACGGTTGGAGATTGGTACCTGGAAAACTAATGAGAAGAAAAACCAGGGAGAGCTTGTGAAGAAGCAATGCACCTTTGATAGGCTCATGACTAAGTATAAGCAACAAAAGGCCAATTCCCAGAATCGGCTGTTAAAAAAAAGAGTCTACTCTGCCTAAGCGAGAAGATGACAAGTCCAAGCAATTGGCGGTGGTGCAACCAGCAGCTCCACCTCAGAAAGTTGCTCCTCGTGTATCTCGTTGGGGTCCCCCGATTCTGCCTCCGGTTATGCCACAATGGGGCCCCTATGGAGTTTGGGTGCTGTATCCTCCGGTGGCGCCTATGCATAGTCAACAAAGGTGGGGAGAGCCTGCTGGTCAAGTTCCAAGAACCTCCGTGTTTAGCCGATTGAACAATGGTCAATCGAGCTCCGGCAGTGCAAGTCAAGATCGTGTGATTACTTCCAGGACTCTGACTCCACAAGAATCGGGAAAGGCACCAATGCAGCAAGGTTATGTGCCTAAGAAGGTTGAAGTTCCCGTCGTTCCCTCACCAAGAGCTAGGCCTCAATCGGTCATCACAATCGGCTCCATAGAAGCTCCTATTTCTAATCATAATGGGCCAATTGTAATTGAAGAAATTCCAGCACCCAAGCAAGATGAAGCTCCTAAAGAAGTTGCTAGAGTTGAAGAGAAGAAACGCGCCAAAGGAGATTCTAAGTATCGGCAACCCATATGGTGTCCTCGTGGGTTGAATAAAACTCAATGACGTAAGTTGTAGCGTACCTGACATAAGCAATAGAAGAGGGAGAAGCTTGCAAAGTTGGAGGGTGAAATCTTCAACCCTGTTCATGCCAAAATCCCTTTGAAAGATCAAAATGCCGCTGCCGCTGCTGGCCAGTCGGCTCCACTGACTCTAGAGTTGGCTAAGCTGACTCCTGCTGATGGCTAGAGTCGGCTTAGCTGACTGCTACCCCTTTCTACCACTCTGGGGCACCCAAAATCGGCTAAGCCGACTGTTGTTGCCCCTGATGCTCTGAAAGTTCTAGAGTCAACTAAGTTGGCGGGTGCCTTCGGGGTGTCCTCTGATGATTTCGCTACTACCGTTGCTGCCCTAGTTGGCATGGAGGTCCCTAAGGTTCCTGATGACTAGACGGTTGATTATGAGGCTACCTCGGAGGGAGCGAAGGTCAATGTGGTTGTTTTGTCTACCGATTACTACATCCTGGCAGATGACTCTACAGCAACGGAGTTTAACTTCGCAACGGAGAGCGCTGTATTTGAGAAACCAGATGACTCTGTCAACCATCTCAAGCCGCTACTTGTGAAGGGCCATATCAATGGCACGCCGGTCCATGGCATGTTGGTGGACAGTGGGGCGATAGTAAACTTGATGCCATATCCGCTTTACATGAAGCTCGGTGGCACTGATGAGGAGCTAATCAAGACCAACATGACCATAAGTGGTGTTGGAGGAGGTGCTCCCATTCCGGCCAAAGGAGTTGCTAACATGGAGCTCACTATTGGAAGCAAGACTTTGGCTACGACGTTCTTCGTCGCCGATGTGCAAGGTAGCTATAATTTGATACTTGGGCGTGATTGGATCCATACCAATCGCTGCGTGCCATCTAGCTTGCACCAATTTCTCATCCAATGTGTGGGAGATGCTGTTGAGGTTGTGCATTCAGATGCATCGGCTGATGTTGCTACAGCCGATGCTCCTACACTCGGGGGGCATGATGCTATTGCTTGCTTATCTGGTAGAGACCTTTCTAGCTTTGAGTTTATTAGTGTTACCACGCAAGGTTTTGTTCCTATATCTTTGAAGCCGATTGATAATCGGCTCAATATCATCATGTAATCATTGTTGTAATGGATGTCAACTTTGAATGGTTAAAACATCATGTTGAACAGTATCGGGCTAATAAGACCGATGCCTGTGAGGCTATTGATGATTTTGATGAGCTCGATAAGTTAGGCCAAGGTTTTACGTCGAGCGACCGTTTAGAACAGGTTGATATTGGGGATGGCTCTATGCCCCGGCCAACGTTTATTAATCAAAACTTGGAAGTCGATTACAAAGATGAGTTAATCACGCTTCTCAAGGAATATGTTGATTGTTTTGCATGGAATTACATAGAGATGCCTAGATTGAGCCGAGAGTTTATTGAGCATTGGCTCCCCATTAAGAAAGGGTTCAGGCCTTTCAAGAAAAAACCCCGCTGATTTAATTCTACAATTTATGATAGGATTAAAGAAGAGATTAATCGGCTGTTGCAAGTGGGGTTTATTCAGCCATGCAGGTATGCGGAGTGGGTCTCTAATGTTGTAACTATTGAGAAGAAAGATTCTAGAAAGATCAGAGTCTGCATTGATTTTAGAGATCTGAGTAGAGCTACTCCGAAAGATGAATATCCTATGCCTATAGCTGATATGCTTATCAATGATGCTTCAGAACATCGGATTATTAGCTTTCTTGATGGTAATGTCGGTTATAATCAGATTTTCATGGATGAAGAAGACATGTCTAAGACGGCTTTCATATGTCCTAGGTTTGTTGGTCTCTTTGAGTGGGTTGTGATGACATTTGGGCTGAAGAATGCAGGTGCTACTTATTAAAGAGCTATGAATTTGATTTTCCATGGTCTAATTGGGGTGATTATGGAGGTTTACATTGATGATATTGTGATTAAATCGGCTGCCCAAAAATCCCATTTGGCCGATTGTAACACCCTAAAAATTTTATGTTTTTGAAATAGGGTTAAAAAGATTTAATTTTGAATTTTTATGCTCATGAAAACATAGGTAAATAATAATTTTTCATTAAATTAAAATTTATCATAAGGCTTAGCAATATTTTTGTGTATTCATGCTGATGCATACTTATTTTTGTGATGAGTGGTTTTGTCCAAAATTCAAAATAATTTCAAATGCTTTTAAAATGGTTTGAAAATGGATTTGAAAATAAAAAAAAGAATTTTATTTTCTTCTTCTCCCTTTCTCGGCTTTTGGTCCGAGCTGCCCACTTCTCCTCCGTGGCCCACCTGCTCTCTCCTCTCACTGGCCCAGCGCGCGGCCCGCTTCCCTGCTCGGCCTTTCCCCTCCGCCGCAGGCCGTTCCCGCCCCTCTCTCCAGCAGGCCGGCCTAGTTCCTGCCGCAGCAGCCTAGCAGGCCGGCCCAGCGTAGCCGTGACATTCTCCGCTCATCCTGCCTTGTCTTGCTGCCACCCCGGCCCTAGCTACCAGTTGCCTTCTTCTTCCCTGCGACAACACCGAGCCAGACTCCGCCACTGCATCGGTGTCCGCGTCTGTCCTGACTCCACCTTGCCATGCGCCCCACGTCTCCTCGGCCTTAAATACCGACTCCCTGCGCCGTGCCACCTCCATCCCAAGCCTCGGAGCAAGATCCTATCTCGTCGAGTCGCCGTGCTGAGCCGCAACCCTAGCGTCGCCGTCCGTCGGTGCCCCGCCGAGCACCGCGCCGCCTCTGTCCGCTCCGCACCTCGGTAAGATGACTAGTTGAGTTCGCCTTGTTCTCCTCTATCTCCCGATGTCCTCGGCTCATGAATCCATAGCCTTTAGGCCCTTCTCCAAGAGCTCCGACGAGCTTTCCCATCTCCAGCCATGGCGCCACCGCCGCCAAGCTCGCCGTCGGTAGCTTTCCCCCTCCCGATCTGATCTGAACCGTCCATCATCGATCCAACGGCTCAGGTCTCGCCGTACCGGTTCGGCCAGTCACTTTTGCAAACGAGCCCCTGCCCTTTTCTAGTAAGAACCCGCAGTCCATAGCATATTTCTAGAATATGACTTTTTCTTTGGAAAGCGTAGTTTCTTCGGTTAGATCCAAAATACGTTTTCATCTATTTACAGTTTTGCCACTATTTTTCTTTAGGCTATAATTTCTCCGTTTTGACCCGTTCAAGTTGTGTTAGATTCGTAATTGCATAATCTACATGTTTATTTTACTGTTAAATATATTTTCAACTTTTGAAATTCTAGGTTAGATTTAATCTATTATTTTATTAAAGAAAATCTTGTTTAATTCATAACTTTTTCGTTATAGCTCCGATTAGAGTGCTTTTCGCGTCTGTGTGTTCGTAGCAACGTGTAGAACGTCTTTAAAACCTTTTTACTTATTATTTATGGTGTTTGGTTTACTATTCTAATTTTGTTCTATTGTTTGCTTCGTGTATGATTGCATGGATGCTTGTGTGGTGCTTTATGATCTTGTCCAATTGGTGAGCTTTACGTGTTGATCAAGAATGAGTTCCTTTGAAGTTTTGGACTTGAAGAAGGTTCAGAGTTTAAGGCAAGTATAGCATGGGATCTTTCTTATTGTCCTATTCACCTTTAATCATTTAATTCATACTGCATGTGTCTACCTTGACTACCACTAAGGATTTCCTAGTACTTTGTTACCTTGTACCTTGATTCCTATGGGTTTATGCATTGGAAAGTATGATGCTAGTGCTCAAACCAAAGCCATGATCTTGTAACTTGACTAATGGTATATGCAATAAACATAAAAAGATGTTTTTAGCAACATGGAACAAGGGGGCTAGAGCATTGGATTATTTTTATGGTGCTCTAGATTCCTCTCCCTAAGGACTTATCTATAAGCAAACATCCAGGACTTATAGTACAACTGTGAGGGCTACATGGCTCTAGCTTTAGCTCAGTATGAGGACCTTTTCTAGCTTGTTAGAGGTTACCTTTATGGCATAAGAATGGCTTGCCGAATCGGGTATAGGACAACCTCTACTCTTATGTGTATAGGCTGCGTGTAATTGTGCCATTCGACAGGGAGGTTTCTATATCTATTTGCCGAGTGAATCTATTGGCCCCAACTTGTTAGATGAACCTTTGAAAGGCTTCATAGTGAACCCTGCCGACCTTCCTTGGAAGTGGGTCAAGAGGTTGGCTGCCTCGGGCGAAAGGATAAATCACGACTCACAGTGAAAGTGTACAACCTCTACAGAGTGTAAAACTGGTATATCAGCCATGCTCACGGTCATGAGCAGCCTTGGACCCTTACGGAATAGATGATCATTAATGGTTAATGATGATGAACATTGATGATATTGATGATAAAGATGCTCACTAATGATTACTGTTTATGCTATTCATTATTCATGTTTACATGATCATGTGTTTACATGAGCTGGTGATAAACTTGTTGCTACTCCTATGCTAAAATTGTGACAATTAAAAGCTAATCGCAGTTAAACCGGTGTCAGTCTTTTGAGCCTCATGAACCCCATGATATATTTGTTGAGTACGACATGTACTTATGCTTGCTTTACTTTTTAAATCTTTGGAAAATCCCGGATGGGTACCAGATTGCTAGAGTTTGGAGGAATTAGGCTTGTGATCAACCGGTCAGTTGTCCCTGTAGAATTGGAGTCTTTACCCGAATATCGGAGTTGTCTTTCCGCTGTTTACTATCTAAGGTTATATTCTTTATACTAAGTACATTATATATTGAGCATTGTCTATTGATATTACCCTTATTTGTAGCTATATGTGAGATTTGACTTCGTGGGCTCACATATGGTGTGTATCTGGTTTTGTTCTTAAAACAGGGTGCTACACCGATTTACGTCTTGCTTTTGAGAGGATGCGCCGCTATGGATTGAAGATGAAGCCGCTCAAATGTGCTTTTGGAGTATCGGCTGGAAAGCTTTTAGGCTTTATTATTCATGATAAAGGCATAGAAGTTGATCCCAAGAGGATAGAGAAGATCAAGAATGTTCAAGCTCCTACATGCAAG